TTGTTAAAATTGCTTGCTTTGCAATGCATCACTCTTTCTCCTGCTCTCAGCAGTTTATCAGAATCTTTAAGTCCTGCAATGCTGCGAACTTGCTTTCCTTTATAAAGGGGTACAAGCACCAGAAGAAATACAAAAGAACCACCTAAAGGGGAGATCACCCGGACAAGGCAACCTCAAATTAAACCAATCACATGCATCACCTTTCCCTTTTCATCTGGTCTTCTGAAAGTATTAAAAAACTCATTTCCATTCAGACAAACGTCAGAGAGAAAACAAACAACATGCATAAAGACAGACAGCATCAACACAGCTCATTCATCCAGTTCACAGACCCACCAGCTGTGTCAGTGTCAGGCACGGTACTCACAAGGAGACAGGCACAACTACTGATTGCTCAGCATTGGCAGCAGTGGAGAGAGGGGAATAAAGGCATTTTAAGAAATACTGCATGTGTTCTAAGAACAGAGTAACATGGATCTGCTAGATTATCATTCACTGAAGTACTTCCATGGCCTGGTGCCCAAGAACTTGCAGCCATCATAATACAGGGATTTTACTGGTCATACTGTCACCAGCTTGAATGGAATAGCATGCTTTATATTGCATGCAGAGGCCTGTGCTGACTAGAGCAGAGTGTGCGGTCGCAGAGATATGCCTGAGTGGCAGTTGAACGACAAGACAGAGACAAGTAGATTCAACCACTAAGTTTAGCAAGACTTAGACACTGAATACAGGATAAGCATAGGTAAGTGCTACTGAGACTTTAAGATCTAAGCCCAGAAACTTGGCAATACAGCCAGATACAGCAAATAATACTTACAAAAGCTATTGAGCATGCCACACAGGTGAGCTCTGTGCTAAGTTGACGAATGAACGTATACAACAAAAAGGTGACAAAACCAGAGATTTCACAAGGAATGACATAACAAAGTACGCACAGAATTTTCACAAACTCATACCACCGTCTTTAGGCATCTAAAGTTTACAATGCAACTGTAAATATAAAGCTTACAACTAAACTATAACACTGCAGTTATAGTACACTATGCCTGCTTTTCTCCTCTCTGTTTCTATCCAAAGATAGTTAATGTAACATCCCAGTATCAAGAAAGCACTCACTACAATTAACAGATATCCATAAATTCAAATTGATAAATGCTTTAATATTATTAAATATAATAATTGATCAATGTTTTAATAAGAAAAGATAACAAAACAGTAGAAATCACAGTGGATTCTTAAGACAAATCTCCATTAGAAAATGACTGAATCCATCAATAGTAGAACTAATTAACTGTAATCAGGTTTGATTACAAGAAAATCAAGAAAAGCTGAAGTAGACTACCAGATACCATAACCTTTACTACTACAAAGAAATAGCAAAAGCACTCTTTTCTGAACTACAAAATATACAGCACACCCCTTAACACAGGCAAGGAAACATTGTTTTCCCTTCTCTTCCTCTCATACCTACTATCAGATTAGAAAAGAAGCTGTACTGCTGTATACTGCTTTTGACTCAAAACATGTAAGATGAGTTTTCCTATAACTTTGTACAAATACACATCTCTGTCCATATGAGCTTAGAAAAACCAGAAAAAGATGAAACGCTGTTCTTCTCCTACGCCCCAATCATCACAAAGTACCCTCAAGGTAAGCAGACCTACTAAGACAAAAAGATACTGAGTTCTTGCTGTAGCAAAAGAAGCCCGAACTCTCACCAGAAGGCAGCTGTAAAAGGTTGAACATACATGTTTAATTCAGGGGGAGAAAGATACTCCGGAATTTTCCCACAATAACAGCTCAAGAAATATAGCTACATTCTTCCAAGATCGAAGCAAAATTGATGGAGTCAAGCATGCATGATTATACTTGGAATAATCACCTAATCCAAAGCAAGGAGCATCTCCTATGCAAACTTTATTATGCAAATAGGATAATCCCCAGATTCCCCACTCAGCCATTTAAGTGAAAATACCAGAAATGGCCCAACTAGAATCAAAGACAGCAAAAATAAAGACAAGCACGTATCTTTCTCTGATTCCTAGTTCTCATTTTCTTCCTCTTTTTCCCAGTGATGACAGGCTGACAGATAGAAGGAAATATACATCCACCCCACAGTCTTCCATACAAGTAAATACAAAAAAATCAAGTGTTTATTGGAAGTCTGCATGAAGGCACAGATGAGCTTGATTACAGACACATCGTAACAATTACAAATATATGTAAACACCTTGAGATATACAACAAAGCAATAATACAGCTAATACAGGAATAAAATATAACCTGCTAAAAAAAATTTCTTTGTATCTGAGGTTCTTTCAACGATAAGCTCCAATTCACACCAACACAGTGTAATGTTTTTAAAGTCATCACTTGGATTCATGCCCAACAAATCTGCACTTTGACCATTGCTGTTAACCAGTGGATTTAAATTTGATCCGAATTTGAACAGGCTTCCTTCACCAGGATCAGGAAAACATCGGAATAACCAGCTAGACACCCAACCAACCTATAATGAGGCTTTGTAGATTCTCTAAATACAAAAGAGCAATCACCAAGGTACTGAAATTAAATATAAGCTTCAGAAAAGCTCAAGGATGCTTGTTCCATTTTTACTTGCATTTGAGGAAATTGCTGTATTTCTGCAGGAAAGGAACAGTCTACAGCTGTCAGGTGATTTTTTTTCTTCCTCCACAGGAGGCTTAGATTTCATCTGAAACACCTGCCAAAACAAAAGTCAGCAATCACAAACTAAAGTGCCTTGGACAGCTTAGGTTTTACCACTAGAATAAAACACCTTCGTTTATAGATACAGTATTAATTTATATCGTAAGAAAACCCGCCTTTGCACGTAGAAGACTACTTCCAATATTTCTGTGGAAAGGGGAATTGCTTTTTTTGTTGGTTTTTTGTTTTGGTTTGGTTTTTTTTTTTTTTAAACAAGAAACCAATGCCAGGAACTTAAAGAACTGCAATACAGCACTTTTTGAAAGGAAACCACACAGAAAAAAAATTGTAGTTTTAGTACAGGCAATTCCCAGGCCTAGCCAAAGAGTACTCTGAGCAGCAATTTACTATAGGGACACAGTTTTCTTAAACTCAACCATCTGTCCTAACACCTCACTCCTCCTCCACAAAAGCTATATAACCTCCGGAGGCCAGTTCCAGTGAGGAAAGACTCCTATCCAGGTAATACATGCAGAACAAAAACTAGCACAGCTACGACATTTCTCCTGACCCTGCGGCCACACCATCCCAACATAAAGATGAGGTAGTACTTTTCTTTGGAGCCTAACTAGTTGAATAGGAACAAGCACTATTCTCCGTAACATAGCAGCTGTCTGTTAATGCAGTGCCAAACTCCATAGCTTTATCTCCTCTTCAGGGCACTCTACTAATACAAGAACAGCAACAGCTGCTTAAAAAAAAAATCATGGTATGAGCACAAACTCCCACTTGAACTATGACTGCATTGTAAAGGCCACGGTCTGGCATATTCAGTGACTTCCTCCGGTCCACAAACTGGCAATGACTCTTAACCTCTATTTGTACTGGGACTAGTGGTTACTACCCAAAAGAAACATGAAGGATATCCTGAGCACTTATTACAGTGAGATGTGGAATTTAAAAAAAAATTAAAAGATTAAGAACTCTAGTCCGAATCCGAAAAGGGCTGGGAGAGGAATTCAGCTCCTCAGGGAACTGAGGAAACCAGATTGTCTCTATGCATACAGTTCATTTGGTAATAGGGGCTCTGTTTTCTCTCTGTTCAAGAGGACAGATCTTTCCCCTCAAGGAGGTTGTTGTAACATACGCATGTATTATAATTTTATAGCTTACACTCATAAACCTTCTGGTTTCTTATGAGATGGCTTGAACTGGAGAAATATGCTCTGCATAGTCCATGCTCTGTAGAATCCCAAGGATCAAAAAGAAATAGACTGCCATGACTGAAACAAAAAGGAAACATCAAAAAGAGTTGACAGTATTAGAACTCATACTGCTTGTAAAACTAAGCATTAGGATTAGAAAAAGCACTACAAGACTTAAACAAGGTCCCTGGATGCATCCTCTTAGTATAATCAATGTAATCAATACTGAGGATGACAGACTGCGTTCTTTGATTGACAAAGTATTCAAGGCTCTTTTATTTGTCCCCGTGATCAGTTTCAATTTATTTAACAAAATATGCGGAGTCTATATTGTCTCCTGTCGGCAGTGCAACTTGCACAGATCCCAGGAAGCTTTCTCATTTTCATTGCTTCCAAGACTGCATTTTTCATTCAGCTGAAATGCACAGGGATTCCACCCAGGCAGATAGATTCCTGAACACGAACATTTTAACAGGAAAGGAATCCTGATCTGTTCAGCTCCAGCACAGCGACTGCCAATAGAAAAGTACTGACACTTTCTTGAAAAACTCTGACAGTCCTTTCTGCCCTTGGGAATATGCTCTCAGAAGAGTACATGTAATTAAAACAATCTTATCTGGCTGTTAGTTGGAAGACTATCTCCGAATAGTCCACCTCTTCTTCCAAAGAACTTCTCTGGAACAAATCATGGATAAAATAAACTCTCAATGCTCTACAGAATATCAGCTGCATTCAGTGTCCAAGCCAGATCCCTTGAGAGAAAAAGTAAAAAGAAAGCTGCTTGATTGTCAGAGAGGAAAGCATTGCTGAAACAGCTAAAAGATATATTTAATTTTTTTTAAACCTTTAGCTCTGAAGGGGTACACTCACAAAATGCTCATCACAGCTAAAAATTGCTTCTGTGGCCTTACACAACTAGCGATGATGCAGTGTGCAACTGACAGGCATTAGTAATGAAAAGGACAACAGAAACCCATCCAGGTGCTTCTCAGATAAAGCCACCAAGCACTTAAGCCCTCATAGTAAACTGGACCTCACTGTCAAGCGAGTTTCTCCAGTCTATAGGAGATTATGATAAAATCACAGCTGCGGAATCATAATTCATGACTATAATTCACAAGGAACACTGAAAATCCATTTACATTTATTAGGAGATGGTTGTGCACAATTTCTCATCTTATCCAAAAAGTCTACAAATAGAGTTTAACACTTCTGATTGCAAGCAAATGTTTGTTCAACGTTCTTAGTTAGGTAAGGCCAATTTAGCGCCTTGTTACACTTTCAAGATTTAGTATACATTTGTCAGTTCTTTACTTTCCTCTGGTAACAGTCCCACTGGAATAATAAGGAGAGTTCACTAAGACACTTTATAACAGCAGCTGAACTTCGGTTACACAAATTCAGTTTTGGAATATGCCTCAAACATAAATTATTCTAGGCAATTTTCCGTTTTAAGCTCTTAAAAAAACACTGTCAAAGGCCTTCCCGCCTCCCCCCCAGCATTTATACTACCACCGCTATGAGCTCACCCTATGTCCAAGAATCTCAAAGCACTTCAGAAAGGAGGGCACCATTTCAAATAGTGGTATACTTGAGCTGGAATCCTACTTATAAAATAATATATTTTTTCCTTCGTCTTATGTTTACAAAAGGCAAGCGTCAAACTAAACCAATCCTATCTTGACCTTAGTCACACCTCTGACTGTAATTTTCTCACACGCAATCCTACCACTGATTCAGGAGCTCTGTTTAATTACAATGCTCACAGCTAAGTTTCCTCTATGGAAAGGTGAGCATCTGCTATGGTCAATTATTTTCAAATGGAAGCAATTATTTTCAAATGGTCAAATTTTAGGTCTGCCACAATCTTGAGAATCACTTGATTGGAGAGTCACTACCATAACTAATGTAATTTGATAATGCACTTGATCCCATATTGGTTTAAGAAGTGTAATAGACTATATATGCATTTCTCTAAATTCTCTCAGAGCTGAAACTACATAGCTACAGTGAAGAAATTCTAGCTTTGCCTTAAGCAGAACCTTTTACAACATTATTTTAACTTACTATTTTGATTTAGATTACTAATTTTATAAAGATTTTCAGTTTGCAATTATTACTGAATACGTGAGCGGCAAACATGAAAATATATGTACAAGTGTTAGTATACTACCAGAATGCTGTACTTCCTTCTTAAAAATGGCCTTAATAAAGCATTAGGCATGTCAAACAAACTTTTGTAAACAAAAGATAAATTACTCATGTTCTGCTCTGATTATAGCCAGATACATATTCTCATAAAATAAACATTCTCTTGTCATTTTCCATGGCCCACAGATCCACATACATATGAGGTAAACCACTTAAAATTATCAATAATATATAAACCTCAGTACTCAACAGGAACCTCAGGAAAAATGTAACTGAGTAAGATGTCAATATCAAGAAGTGACACTTTGTTCCACTGCAAAGTGAAACCAATTTATTTGTGCTAAATGAATGGAAAGAATGTATTCAGAATACATTTCTTTATACATTGTACCGGCTTAGGCTGCTAAATAAGCATTCATTAGTGCCATGTTGTGCTACTTTCTTGTACTCTGTTTCTACCAAGCAATACAACATTTTGGCTGTTACACCAATATATTCCTATATGCTCATCTTGTATCTTATTTTCTAACAGACTTTTGAACATTTAGAATACTTGTTCAAACTTTGCTTCAGGGGAATCACAATTAATATATTTTAACAAGAAAAAAATTATCATCAGCTGTTCTCTACAATCACATTGCCTTCTGCAGCAAAAAAATCAAAAGAGCACACTTTAATCAGCTATCAGTAACCTGTGGGCAAGACCACACTCACCGAAGTTAATTGTGACAGATCACACAGTATGGGCAGCTTACAGGTTAACGTAAATGTCAAGTGAAATCATCAAATCTTAAGGTCCATGAATTGTACATTCCACAGACTCCAACAAGCCAGTTCCCTCACCGCAAAATTCAGGCTGTACCATACGTTTGAGGTGCTTTTAAACAGGAGAAGTATGGATGTGTCCTGTGTGCTGAATTAAGCTTATTTACTACGTAACACAATAGACTATGTGTCTTGGGCACTGATTAGGGTGTCTGACTCACTTTTGCACTAGAAGCTGTTATTTCAAATGACTGAAACGTAGTGCTGATTCTCCATAAGCTTGGTAAACACTGTAATATTTCAGAATTTATCATATAGCCCATCATGCCTTTAATTTTCTGCAAATTGTCATGAAAAAATATAAAAAGGTATCCCTTTAATTTTACAAACCTAAAAGCCAGGAAAATGAAGCTTTGGAGCCAAGCAAAACGACGTAATGCCGTATTACCGAACAGAGTAGCAAATGTTCCAGCCAGAGAATGGACATACATGTAGTTCAAGTAAACACTGATGGAAAACTTTGTTAAGTTAGTGTTGTAGACCCACAACACTGGCTGCATTTTATACAAACGTTTACAACACAATTAACAGTGAAGCCTATATAACCTCAGTGCAAATAAGTCAAATCCAAATATGCCAAGTAAGCCTTTGGCTTTTAGTAAACTGTTCCATGTTATGAGTCCACTTCTGACATACAGACTGCTGAGCACATGCACTAAGGCTGAGAGGAGGGATGCACTGAATGTTGAAAAGTGGCTGACTGCGATGCTGCAGATTGGACCGTAGGTTGCACTGGTGGTGGAGGTGGTGGCGGAGGTGGTTGCACTGGGGTCTGCGTGTTTGGAGAAGGAGGAGGAGTGGGACGTTTAAATTTGTCGGGGCTGTTACTTCTTCGTGGTGAAGGCCTCTGCAGAACAAATATTGAAATTATGTTTAACATACTCCTGAACAACATTAGGTGTAAGTCCTGTAATCAATTTATTGAGCTTGGCAAAGGAAAAAAAAAAAACACAAAAAAATCTGAACAATTACCTGAGAAGAATCCATTTCAAAACATTGCAAGAATCACAATGCAACTTTTACATAAAACAACCGTTACTCTGAAATGGAGTAGCAAAGGAAAGGGGAAGTACTTTTGAGATCAAACAACATGCGTTCCTTCTTGTCAGCTTGCAGGAAATGAACACAAGACATATGTCCTGAAGATATGTTCACCTATGACGACCAGCAACATAAAAAGAAATGAAAGATGCTGTAGAGACAGCACCTCCCAGTTGTGCTTGCCCAACCAGTAGGTGCTGATGAGCCTTTTAACTTTACGCTGCTGACGTATGAAGTCCAACTACATGGTACCTGAGCGTGGGTGGAAATGTTTCGAATGCCAGAGAGTCTGCCCAGAATCTCTAGCTTTCTGAAAGACTCTTAGCCTGCACACTGGAGCAAGACCAAAGCATAATACAAGTTGTTCTTTGGAGAACAAAAAAAAGATTACAACCCTTTGAGCTGCAGGAGTGAAGCAGTTGTTAGAGAGCTCCCCTCAACAGAAACCACAGATTTTCAACAACCTGCGCATTTAAACACAAAGATTTAAAACCCACTTTATCTTTACAAACCAGGTAGGGGGGGAATCTTCTTTAATGTTATCTATGTAAAAATATAAATTACACCGCACAACACTAACTTCTGCACTTTTGAAACCAAAATGCTCACTACTTACTGATCCAGTTAGCATTAATGAAGAACCTCATGGCATGACAAACTACCCACCCACAATTAATAATCAATCACAGGTGATCAACTCTGGGGAGAAGCGTGATTACAGTGCTATACCAAATGTACTACAGGTAAAGTCAATTTATTCTGTAATAGAGATCAAAAATGAAGAGTCAAGAATCAAACTGCAGTTTAGTCAAATAATGTATATTGTATCTATTTTTCTGCACAACTATGTACAATAGATTAATGGTCTATGCAAAAAGCCAAGGGATTCTTGATAACTGACTGATGTCTCTGAAACACTTAAAATCATTTCTTGCATTTGCGTACATCCAATAATATGAAGGGACCTGGTTTCAGTATCGAGGCAAAGCCAGGAGCTACATATCAATACTTTTCTCAAAACAATTAGAATTTTGTCCTGAAGATGACCTTTTTCATAGGGACTCAATGCGACACCCATTATTTTACAGTTTCAGAAAGATTAGTATTTCAGAGACTGAACAGAACAAGTTCCTTGAAAAACTTATTTATAAAATTCGGTTCCAGGTTTTCCTGGAGCATAAAGATCTTCCTGTGACTAACTCATGTGACACGCAGCAGTGGGCTGAACCCGGACCAGGATTCTACCTTCCTGC